ATCACAAATCTAAACTTTTGTGTATATATAAAACAATTAGTTATTTCTACTTTTGATTCTCAAAGCACACACCAATTATCAACAGGTTCTTTTTTATTAAATTTTATCAGGAAGCTGGGGGCAGAAATGGGTACAAGAATTAATCATCGCCTTTGATCACCAACCCATCTTTAGCAAGAAAGTCACGTCAGCTATTAATAACTGGGCTGCCTTTGTTCTTGTTCCTTGACCTCAATGAATCCCTCAATCAACTATTAAAAGTGTGTCTTTCTTTACTTTAAATTGTTCCCCAAGATTTTCTACATCAAAGCCATTAACAAAAACATCTTAATCTAACTTTACTAACAATATACATATCTAAATTCTTTCTAAGGATGGTGGTTGAATCATTAATCTGCTCCAATAACAATGCCTGGAAAAAGTCAATCACTATTTTTTTAGTCCCTAGTGAGGGATTAGAAATCCCCTTAGAGTTTTCATACAGCTCATAGATTTTAAGGGACATGGTGACCTCGAGGGCAAAAGCAGCGATATGCTCAAGAACAGCATGAAGTCCTCAGGACATGGAGTCCTTGAGGCTCTGCCTCTCCAACCCTCACCCAGTGTGAGTAAGCTGACCGCCAGGTCATATTCTGTGAGTTCCAAACTGTTTGCTCTTCCATTGACATGGCCTCCAGCGCTGCCCTCATTACTCTATAGAAGTCTTGTGTTGGGTCTGAGGAGCCGTGCTCCTTAGGGAAACTCTACTATCATACTGGAAAAAAAAAAAAGGTCCTGCAAGGATAAATGAGATAGGAATGCCCAGTTTGGAAGCTGTAAATGTTATGCTCATATTTTAAAAGTTGTGTGAGGGGGGAAAAAGGATGGAAATTTAGTCAGTGTCTGTCAAGCCAGGTGAGTTGAAGTGAGAAGAAATAATCTTAGAATCTAGGAAAGCAAGATCTTTATCAGTAAATCTCTCCATGAAGTTTTCCCAGCACTGGGAATGTAGAAGCAGCAGGGGTATCTGCAAGGCTATAAGATCTTGACAGGTAGGGTGTGTAATAATTCTTCCAGAGTAAAAAATCTTCATGGTATGTGATACGCCTGTTTAATCATGAATGCTGAGCATGCTCAGTGCATCACATTGAAGTATTTGCTCCAGAGAAACAATACAGAAATGATAATGGCATCATTAACCCTACAGTTTGAAGATGAAGCCTGTAATTCTGTAAGAAAAGCTGATTGACCTTGGGCAGCTAGTGTCTTAATGTTCCTCAGGTGATTGTGAACTTCAATAAATTGGTTCACATAAAGCCTTCGTCCAGTGAATCTGGCTGAGAGAATAGCCATTAAATTTATAGTCTGAAACTACCTGGAGGAATTATTTGAGAAATTAGTATTAGTATTTTATATCTTTTTGGTGGTTGAGGTAGGAGGGCTCACAGGGTCTCAGGCTAGTCCAGAACTCACTTTGTGACTCAGGCAGGTCTTCCCAGGTGCTGGGATGAGCCACTCTGGACAATCTAGTCTTCTTCTCCTTCTCTTCCTCCCTCTTTTTCTTCCTTCTTTTTCATTTTAACCCTTTGGAGCTGAGAACCAAACTGAAGGCCTTGCACTTAGTAGGCAAGCACTCTACCACTGAGCTAAATCCCCAGCCCCCAAGCCCTAATATTTCAACCATGGTGCATTTTAAATTTCTGTATGTGTGAATCTGTCTTCTCACATGTCACCAACCATTCTTCACCCCACATTTACCATCTGCCTCTCAGATAGATACTAAATATAGAAGGCAGTATTTATCTGGAACTATTCAAAGGGAAAATGGTTGACGTGAGTGAAACACCTCTGATTAATGTCCTAAAGCATAAGCTTTTAATTGTTTTGTCTTAACAAGAAATAATTGATTCAGGCTGGGGTTGTGCTGGGGTGGAGTGGGGCCTTGCATGTTTGAGCCCCAGGTTCTGTCCTGAACTCTGTCTTTAGCCTCTTATTGGCTAACTCTCACATCTTGATTTAACCCATTTCTATTAATCTGTATATCACCACGAGGTCGTGGCTTAGCAGAAAGATTCAGCATGTCTGATTCTGGCGGCTCCGTGGCAGTTCTCTCACTCTGTTTTCTTTCTCCCAGAATTCAGTCTTGTCTTCTCCGCCTACCTAAGTTCTGCCCTATCAACTAGGCCAAGGCAGTTTCTTTATTCATTATCCAATGAAAGCAACACACAAACAGAAGGAACCAGGCCCAGGGTGGGAGGGTGCTGTGGTGTCTGCTTGTTAACTGTCCAAACTGTGTGTTGGGTACATTAAGCAGTTAGTTCTAGATTCTGTGTTTGCAACATGTTTGCAGATTTCCATAATTTTTCTTCATCTCTGTCTCTGTATGTTTGTGTGTGCGCTTGTGTGTATGTGAACAGGTGTGAAGGCCAGAGGCGAGTGTCAAGTGTCTTCCTCATTTGCTCTCCCCTTATTTTTTTTTTAATATTTATTTATTACATATACAATATTTATTACATATACATATTCTGTCTGTTTAAGTGTATGCCTGCAGGCCAGAAGAGGGCACCTCATTACAGATGGTTGTGAGCCACCATGTGGTTGCTGGGAATTGAACTCAGGACCTTTGGAAGAGCAGGCAATGCTCTCAACCTCTGAGCCATCTCTTCAGTCCCCTCTCCCCTTATTTTTTGAAGACAGGTCTTTACTGAACCCTGAGCTCACTGATTAGCTAGCCTGGCTGGCCAGCAGGCCCCAGAGGTCCTCCCATCTCCACTTCTCCAGAACACCTCTGTGCCTGGCCTGTTTTAACTAATTAATTATTTATTTTTTTGGTAAATTATTTTTGCTTTGCTTTTAATTAATTTATTTTTGTTGTTTTATTTTTAACATGGTTGCTGGGAATTCAGCTGTTCTTCATGTTTATGTGGCAAGCACCTTACCCTGAGCTGCCTCCGCACCCTCATTCTTTGTTTTATTGAGACAGGATCTCTACGCGGCTCTTAACTGACCTGGCACTCCTGGGTAAACCAGGCTGGCCTTGAATTTGCGGTGAGCTCTGTCTCTGCTTCCTGAGGGCTAGTGTTAAAGTCTTGTATCACCATTCTGGCTTAGGTTTTTATATTTATTTATTTATTTATCTATCTATTTATTTATTATGTGTCTATTGGTGCATAGTGAAGGGAGTCTCATCTGTCTGTCACAGTGCAGGTGAAGGTCAGAGGACTACATTTTGGTGTTGGTTCTCTTTTACTTTTTTGTGGGTTTGGAGCATTGAACTCAGCTCACCAAGCTAGCACAGCAAATGTCTTTACCAGTTGAGCCATCTTGCTGGCCCACAGTATAGCCTAGCCTAGGCTAGTCTCTAACTCATTTTCTCCTGCTTCAACCTCCAGCATATCCTGCTGATCTTTTTAAGTTTGCAATTAAAAAGAAAATTTGTCATATATATACACACATATATATATATTATATATATATATATATATACATACATACATACATACATACACATATATATTTAAAAAAATCAACAGGAGACTCAATAGTTTTTACCCCTGGGCAGAAATACTGAGAGCTATCAGATCGGGTTTTTTTTTTTGGATGGGGGGGCGCTGTTATTATTTGCTTTTGCAAGCTATTGAAGACCTGTTTCTGGCCTTTGTTAAAATATGCAGAAGGTCTAGCATCTTCTAAATTTTGTCATTAGATATGTTGCTGTGTTATTGTTTCCATTATCTTTTTCTGCCTGGAGTATATATTTTTATATGAAATGTAAGAAGAAATTTTGTTACTTTTGCTGAGAAATGCAATCAGCAGTATTTTCAAAAGTAGATTTTCTTTGTACTTTACCCTTATTTTAAAGACAGGTATTTGTTTTTTAATCAGAAAGAAAGTTAGCTATGGCAGTAACTTCTTTAACACTGTAGTTTAAAGTATGTGGCTGCACAGAGTTTCTACTTTACTGTGCATCCACTAGGGACTTCAGTCATAGGTAGACACTTGGGTCTTATTTAAAGTAATTAAATGATGGTGGGTATTTCAGGTATTTCACTGTGAGTCTTTTATGTCAACATTTTTACTAATTGACTTCTGATATGTATCTTAATGTGCAATTTATGGAAATAGTTGTTTCTATCTACAGATTAAGGTTTGAAATGCCGATAAATTTAGTCTTTGGTCTTTGATTTCTAAACCATGAATAGATGTAGGAGAGGGAGACAGAGAGAGAGGGAGATAGATAGATAGATAGATAGATGATAGATAGATAGATAGATAGATAGATAGAGATAGATAGAATATTGATTTGAATCAGAATATTGATTTGTTAGCCTTACTCTGTCACTCATGTATGCTGTGTTAGTCATCTGAATCAGAAGAATATTTATCTCTTTTTAAGTTGATAGTAATAGCTACTACCAGTGCTAGTTTCTGAAGTGTTTCATCACTCCTCTTAAAAACTGAAAACATTCTTCAGTATACTTGTGATAACTGAGACTCCGAGAATTGAGTCCACCTAGCAGCAAGATGAGCATTACACTTAGCAGTATACCCCAGAACCCACCTGCAGCTAAGCTGTGCTGGGGCTTGCTTTGTCTTCCCAAGTGCCTGGCATTGTGGAAAAGATGGCTGAAAGCTGGGGAGTGCTGCCCTGACATGGTTGAGGGCCAAGGCCTACTCTTCAGTTAAGGGCTTGTTGAATGCCATTAGAGTGTGTGCATCTCGTTGCAAGTTTGGATTCACTTCTGTGGGTGGTTCCTGATAGCAAGTTAAATTCGGTGATTTTTTTTTTTATTGCTCTCACACCCCCCCCCCCAAGGAAATCATTTGGACAGCTATTAATGTAATTTTTCTGTGTTTTTTGTTTTTTAAGTTTTGCTCCAATTCAAACTTCCAAAATAATTTTGGGAAAAAAGATTAGTAGATATTAACTCTTAATATAATACCCCAAAGTTGCACAATTAAACTTTTTATTCAATGCTGAGTTACATAACTGTTTCTCAATTTCTGTCTTTATTCCACAGAATGGTAAATAAGGCTGGCCGTCTCTGGAAAGGCCACTGATCCGCCTCATGTAAAGTATGCTCAGTTCCTTCCCAGTGGTGTAAGTATCCTTCTCGACTCTAATGTTAGCTGGTTAGACTGTGACTCAGATCTGATGACAAATGCTTTCAGAATTCAAAGAATTCGTTTAAATGGCATTTATTTCTTTATGTGTGGGGTGGTCCTTCAATTGCTTTGGCTTGTGTGTGGAGGTCAGGACAGGTTGGTGGAAGGTGGAATCAAACACAGGTTTAAGGGCAAACACTTTTACCCTCTAAGCCATCTTGCCAGCCCAATGTGAAAGAAATTTTTAGGAAACTATTCAAATGGTGTACGTCTTTGTCAAGGTAAACAAGTGTAATTATATGGTGAGGAATGAGGTTTCAGACCTGTGAGGTTTTTGTTTTTTTCTTTTTTATCATTTTTACTTTCAACATTGTATTTTGACATTTTCCATCTAAACATAAAGTTTCCATATTTATTATTTCCTTAAAAATTTTTTATTTTAATTATGTACATGTGTGGGTATGTACTAGTGAGTGCAGGTGCCCAAGGAGGCCAGAGGCCTCAGAATTGGAGTTATGAGTGATTGTTAGCTGTCCTGTGTAAGTGTCAGGGACCAAGCTCAGGACTCTACAAGAACAGTAAGTGCACTTACCTGCTGGGCCTCCTCTCTGGCCCTCTCATTATTTATAACTGTTTAATAGCCTAGAAACTGGTGAGGTAGGTGGTTACGTGATGGCAAAAGCTTCAGTTGTATTCTTAGTAATAAGCAGAATATAAAAAGCATGCTCTCTTAATGCTTGATTTGCGTGCAAACTCCTAAGGACACTGTAGCCATTTCTCTTTCCCTACTACAGATGGTAATGTAGTTCTGCCTCTTAGCTAATGTAGTCGCTAGCTGTTGTTTGGAGTCAAGGCAGAGAGATACAAATGGAGATGGTGGTGTTGTGTCAAGAATGTTTTTGTGCTGGAATATGAACTGTAACCACCAGTTCATATAAAATAGGCCTCAGAATAAAAGTATTCCGGGAATTTCAGAAATTAGAGAAGATAAAGGGCCTATTAGCTCATTAAGTGCATCTTTAGCGTCTGGTGCAGAGTGCCTTGAGCCTAAGTAATTTCTAAAATTTGGTGGAGTCTGTTTCACTTAAATTTCTTCTGTTTTGGTTGACAGTTCTATAATCTAATAAGTAGACATTAAGATTGGTTTTCTTTATTATTTAGGTTTCTCTTTGAAGCTCCCTCCATCCCCCAACACACACATACATTACTTCTGTGATTTAGTGCAGTCTCTGGAGGAGATCCAGGTGATAGAACTGTCGCCTGAGATTCTGCTCAGTAGCTGTGCCCTAGGAACGGCACTTTATCTTTGGGACTTTGCCCTCCCCATCCACCCTTGCCTTCCTGCTGCTTTCTTTGTCTTTTTCTGTTCCTTTTCTTTTTCATCCCCACCCTTGTTTTTGGAGACTGGATTCTCACTATGTCTAAAATAGCCTGGAACTTGCTGTATGCCTCAGATTGGCCTTAAACTCAACAAACATTTGGTCATCCTTTTGAGTGCTGGGATTGTAGGTATATACCACCACATCTGGCTCTTGACACCAAATGAAATTAAAGAGATGATCAAAATTAGGTTCACAAACCACACAATTCATTGGCACATAAAGAAACACCTCTGCTTGGTTCACAGTTTTTTTTGGGGGGGGGAGTTTCAAGACAGGGTTTCACTGTGTAACAGTCCTAGCTGTCCCGGAACTAGTTCTTGTAGAGCAGACTGACCTCAAATTCAGAGATCCGCCTGCCTCTGCCTCCCGAGTGCTGAGTTTAAAGGCATACATCACCATTGCCCGACCATATTTTGTGTTTTGAGACAGGGTCTTATGTAGCCCAGACAACCCTCAAAACTTGGCTCCATGGCCAAGGATAACCCTGAGCTCCTAGTCCCCCTGCCTCAGCCTCCTAAAGTTTCTAACAAACCTCAGAGGACTGTACTTAATGTATAGTTTTGGTACATCTTAACCACACAGTGAGTTCCTAAATATTTGACACTTAGGTGTTCAATTAGTGTAGTACTGGTTTCTGTGAGAAGTAAAGCCTACGACCAGGTGTACCTTTAGGGGAGTGACTGCGTCTCTTGATACTCACCGTAGAGATCTGCAAGATCACGAAGAGGACACGTGGAGGTCACCTTGATTGACTGCCGAATGCTTAGCCCCAAACAGAACATCTATGCCATCCCCTCCAAGGCCTTCCAAGGCCCAGAACATTGAAGAGAGGAAGCAGAATGACTGTGGGAGCCACAGGTTAGAGGAGTGCAGTGGGAATGCACCCTTCTGTGACATGACTGCAGCAGCCAGCACATTGTATACACATTATTGTCACAACTTTTAAAAGAATTCATTCAATTAAAATAGAAAGCAAAATTAAGGAATGTATTGACAAATGAAAGCAGCAATGAGATTTTTTTTTTCCTGTGGGATTTTTTTCATTTGTTTTCTTTTGTTTCTTGTTCAGCACTTGATGCCGGAGGGCAGTGCTGATAGCAGCAGGTGAAGTTGCAAAGCTTTCAAATTGTCTGTCAAACTTACATGTTTTGAAGGCTAGTAGTTCTAGTCAGCAACTTTCTACAGGGTCTGGGGAGCTATAATGTAACATTTCTAAAAGAAGGGAGAGTTCTCAAGTAAATGAGTGTTGACTCCAGATTCTCCTGTACAGGACTCTGATGAGACTTAATATTCTCTGGCCTGTAATCTCAGTACTTGGAACACAGAGGCTGAAGGAGCGTGTGTTCGAGGCCAGCCTGACCTACATAGCAAGGCTCTGTTTCAGACACGTCAAAGCAACAAAGTACTTTACCCTCCAAGAGTAAAAGGAGGAGCTTCATGAGCTGCATCCTCAGATGATGGACATCAACTCTGCTGTATCTTATGACATATTTGTCATTTATGGCAGGGTTTGCAATCGTTTTAAAGCTGCCTAACAGATTATCCTCCAAACTGCACAAAATGGAACTCAATCAGTGCTCATTTAAAAGAATACCAAGCTTGATTGACACACTGGAATGGAATATAATTATACATTTCACAAAATCTTTTTATTATGAAAGGGACATTTACAGGTGATCTATAGTCATAGGCTGTTCTTAGGCTTTAGTCGGTTTACCTAATAATTTGAACTAACGAATCATTTTACACTGCAGTGAAGCTCAGTTCACTGTAAAACATTAGTTCTTACTCTTACATGTCATTTTCTTACTTGAAGCCACATATTTGATAGAGGTAATAATCAAGAGAGGGAGCAATGTATATAAATAGTAAGAAGGGTCTGGAATGTTTGAATCACCCTACAGTGACCACATAAAGCAAAATGGGTTCTGCCTAGTCATTCTGAACAAGATAAAAATAGCAGAAATGGCCAGGTGGTGGTGGTGCACGCCTTTAATCCCAGCACAGAGAGGCAGAGGCAGACGGATCTCTGAGTTCAAGGCCAGCCTGATCTACAGGAGCTATTTTCCAGGACAGGCTCTAAAGCTACAGAGAAACTCTGTCTCAAAATAATAATAATAATAATAATAATAATAATAATAATAATAAAAAACCCAGCAGAAATGATCTGGGAGAAAACTTTGTTTGTCTAAAAGTCAACTATTGATGCTTTGCAATTCGTGTCATTTTTGCCCCTATGATTTCAGTGCTAATTAATCATCTCTTAATGCTTTAGCTAGACTCTTCTGCTGTCTGTCTTTGAAATATCACTTATAAAGGTATATCCCAAGCCTGTGGCCTATCTAGAAAGGTTTTAGGTATTATTGCAAAATATGGTCAATATCTCAAGATATTGGTAAGACTGTGGTCTTATAGTATCAGTTTAGGAATTGAGCTTTAAAGTCCTGAACTGAATTGGTCTTTTCTAGTTTAATCTTTGTCTATCTTATTCGAGTGTCAAAATTCTTAAATTATTCTCAATTAGTGTTAGTTGGAGCCTATGTTCAAATTAGTAATTTAAAGGAAAACTGCCCCTTATCCTATAAGTGATCTTTGGCCTTCAGAAAAGCAATTTAGCTCCTCCATGTCATCTTTTGTCATGTGAGGACCGCTGGCATTCTGGTCCTAGATGACCTCTATAGGTCATTTGCTGCTGTTATTTTATAAAACTGCTTCCACTAGGTAAATTATGAGAAGTACAAATGGGGTATGGCATAGTATAGCCAGTCATGTGTATTGATTGCGCATTATTCTCAATGTCCACAAGAGCTTCCAATCATTTGTGTGCGCTTGTGTTTTGTTATGTGCATGATGTGATCCTACTCAGGATGCTGTTGTCCTCCTCTAAGTCACTCTTTTGATCCTGGCAACTGTGACCTCTGCGCTAGCTCCCGTGGCAGTTGGAGCTGTTCTTGGTACAAATTACAGATATCCATTTAAACACAGTGAAATGTAAAGGGAAATTGATTGTTTCACCAAATGAAAGAAGAGCAGAATTATAAGAAGCTTAACAATTACAGGGCAACAATAGGATGCTGCAGGGCTTTTCCCTTGTTCTCTGCAGTTTTGGGTTATCTGCTTTATTCTTTCTTCAGCTCTTGCTTTGTGAAAGTATTCCTGTGACTTAGCTCAGTTACACTCACTGTCCATCTTACCATAGTCTAAGTAGAACGTTTTGTAGAGAGCCCAGTTTCTATTCCTATGGTTGTCTGTTCACCAGAAGTTGATTTCTGTGAAGAGCTGACCAAAGAACATGTGCTTAGGAATGATTAGGTGTTCTGGGTAATCAAGGTAATAGGTGGGCCCTATTGCTCCCCTTATGATGGATGATACCGGAAAAAAAGTGATTTTCTGTTGTTATTGGATCCTAAACGGTGTAAAGTATTTCAGATACTGTGAAATTCTTTGCTCATAGATAGTGTTGTGTCATATAGAAGGAGGCTTGAAGAACTGCACTTGTGATGTACACTGACTGAACAGATAGAAAAATATGATTAACTTTTCTGCATATAGATCTTAAAGTTAGACATCTAGAGGAAGAATAGTTTGTGAAATACTTTGATTGAATGAGTACTGAAGGTACCAAAGCAGGCTTTTATTTTCAAGGGAAAGTACCTATGAAGATGAAAAAATAATTATGAGGGGAAACTAGAATTTGCCAAGATAGTAAATTCAGGGGTAAATTAGTTTAAAAATTAGTTTAAAAGAAAAAATGGAGCCAGAGAGGTAGCTCTGTGGCTCAGAGTGCAAATTGCTCTTTAATTTTATTTTAAGACAGGTCTTATTAAGTTATAAGATGACCTTGAACTTAGTCTGTTGCCCAGGTGGGCTGTGAAAGTTGTCTTTGTGCCACCAGTACAAAAGTATCCTAAGTCCCAGTTTCCTTAACAGTTAATACTGTAACATTAAAACAAAACAAATAAATCATATCTACCACAGAGACTTACTGTGAGGATTGCATGAGGTTATACTGTATAAAATTCCTGTTCAATTTCTTAGTTCAATTGAATTTTTCTACAGTACAGTCCAGGGGTTGAAGAAACAGTAAGCTCTCCACAAGGCTTAGGGGACTGCCTCGAGCACATTTGTCTTTAATGGAAGAAAATACCTTTACCTCTGTTTCTCTTAGTAGTTATTTATTTCAAGGCTATTCCATGCCACATATCATATCTATGACTAGAAAATACAAATTAGAATAGAGATGGTTCTCATTTTCAGAAATACTGAATTCAAAAATCAGATTTTAGGGCCAGAGAGAGATGGTCAGCAGTTGAGAGTACTTGATGTGTTTGCAGAAGACCTGGGTCGGGTTTTCAGTCCTCACATGATAACTTACAAAACCTTTTGTAACTCCAGCTCCAGGACATTCATTGCCCTCTTCTGGCAGCTCCTATTACTGCATGCATGTGGTGCCCATACATACATATAGACTGACACTCATTGCAAAATAATAGACAAATACATAAATCTTTTTAAAAGTTAGCTATTATTTAAAAAAGTAATTCAAAGAGAGAATGTTTTTATGATGTAGCTAATGTCTTAAAATACTAAGTTTCTCTCTAAGAAAACATTTTTTAGAATTCTACAGTGTCTTATGCTAGTTTAGGTGGAGACATGTAGAACCAGTTTTCAAGACATGAATAGCTCCAGTTGGCTGTACATATGAGCAATACATTCAGAGAGCATGTCACAGAGACGAGAAGCTCGCGAGACTGCTAAGCTAAGAAGTAGAAGCAGTGCTTGGTGTGTTGTTATATTTGTATAACCAAGTATTTATGTAGTCACTAGCATTTGCTTAGACTAAGCCAAGCAAAACAGTTTTCATTGAATGACCTAACAGTTGTCAGTTTTGCTGATATTTGGAAAAGCAAGATAACACAGACTTTTCCACCAATTTCCCATTAATATGCTAATATGCATCAATATATTTTGAAATTGAAAAAAAAAACTGTACATTACCACATAGTCTAAGCCTGATGAACTGTATGTTGTAGGAGGCTGCTTGTTTGTTCCCAGCTGCTCAGCCCCAAAATAATTACAAAGAAATGGTATTCATTAAATCACTGCTTGGCCTATTAGCTCTAATTTCTTATTGGCTAGCTCTTTCATCTTAATTTAACCCATTTCTATTAATCTGTGTATTGACATGTGGTTGTGGCTTACTGGCAAGGTTCCATCCAGTGTCTGTCTCTGGCAGGGCTACATGACTTCTCTTTGACTCCGCCTTCTTTCTCCCAGCATTCAGTTTAGTCCCGTCCCTCCTCTTTGTCCCCCTCACCTTGCCTAGCTCTATTCTGCTAAACCATTGGCCAAAACAGCTTCTTTATTCATTAACTAATAAAAGCAACACATATACAGAAGGACCTCCCACACCAACTATATGTACTTTACCTGATGAATTGGCATTTTAACATAATAAATGTTTTGTTTCCAAATTTTGGTTGGTTACCAAAACTGAAAAACATAACTTTTATTCCATTATAAATTAGGTTTTATGTTATAACTGATAGACTCCTACTAAACTCAGAATATGTACCAATCCAAACCATAACAAAAAAAAAAGTCTATTAGGACTCATGTCTTTTTATTTTCTTTCTTTTTTTGTTGTTGTGTTTGTGTGTGTGTGTGTGTTATTAATATGTGTATGAAGGCATGCAGAGGCCAGAAGTGGACATTAGGTGTCTTCGTCAGTTGCTTTCTACCTCATTTTGAGACAGGAACTCTCACTGAAACCACAGCTCATTAACTAGCTTACCTGGCTGGTGGTCAGCAAGCCCCAAAGATCTGATGTCTCCCTCTCCAATGCTAGAACTGTCATGTGCTACTGCTCTCAGCTTTTGCATTGGTGCATAAGACTGAACTTAGGCACTACTGCTTACACAATAAACATGCCACTTGACTGAGCCTTTCCCTGTCCCTTAGGATTTTATATTCAATGAACTGGTACTGAGATCAAACCTCTTCTGCTGAGGATTCTTGATGGTGAAATGTTTTTGTTAGTTGACAATAAAGGCACTTCATTTTTATCTTTTTCTCCCTCCAGTTTGCTGGAAACCATGTCTCACTATACAGATGAACCCAGATTTACCATAGAACAGATAGATCTGCTCCAACGTCTCCGGCGTACTGGGATGACCAAACATGAAATTCTCCATGCATTAGAAACTTTGGACCGTCTTGATCAAGAGCATAGTGATAAGTTTGGAAGGAGATCCAGCTACGGGGGAAGCTCCTATGGGAACAGTACCAACAATGTTCCAGCATCTTCCTCTACAGCCACAGCTTCCACACAGACCCAGCACTCCGGAATGTCCCCATCACCCAGCAACAGTTATGATACCTCCCCACAGCCTTGCACTACCAATCAAAATGGGAGGGAGAACAACGATCGATTGTCCACATCCAATGGGAAGATGTCGCCATCTCGCTACCATGCAAACAGCATGGGTCAGAGGTCATATAGCTTTGAAGCCTCAGAAGAGGACCTAGATGTAGATGATAAAGTGGAGGAATTAATGAGGTTAGTTACTTTGCCTGTTATGAATTACCCCAAAATAAATATGTTTTTAAGATTGTTTTTAAATAGTAGCTTGTATTTCAAAAACTTAACAATAAGAACAATGGTTTCTCCCTCCCTTCTTTGGAAATGAAAGTAAAACTTGAAATTGTGGTTTTAGATCAAACTTTTTTTTCTTCTCTACTTCAGCCCTTTTGCCTCATGATGAGGCTTTTCCGGTTTCTTGATTGTTCAAGGGCTTTCTCTATTTATGGTGTTAGCAGATAGTTTCTGACTGATGGTTTATTTAATTCAGTCCTTACTCCTTCATTGTAAATATTTTTCTGAGTAGTAAGATAGATTTACCGTGGTGTGGAATACATGCACTCCTCGTGTTCCTTTGCATCATTTCAATCAGTGCAACAATTTGAACAACTGTTGGGTCAGAAGTAATTTTCAGTAAGAAGCATAGATACCATCCTGCCCATGAAAGTCTGAAATTCTAATTTTGGTAGTAGATGCAGCACCCACATGTACACCATACTTCATCAGTTGCCAAGTTAGCATGTGCACTTCGAGTTTAAACACACACACACACACACACACACACACACACACACTGAAGCCTACTTTCAGCTGAAGTAATTTAGACTTTGTGGCAGACCTGGTTCACTTTGAGAGTAACACACATGTGTTTTCTATTCTATGTCCAGAACTAGGAACTTCCTTAAGCACATGGTGTGGGCTCGGTATGTTAGCGGAGTAGATAAATTTAGCCTAAACCATAAGGATATTCTGTTTTGAAATAAGGATATGGAGCTAGTTCAGGGGATAAAGGTGTTTGCTGCCAAGCCAGAAGACTTGAGTTCCATCCCTAGAACCCACACAGTGGAAGGAAAGAACCAACTCCTAAAAGTTGTCCTCTGACTATAAACATGCCATGACACAGGTACTCCTGTACATCCACATATAGTCAGTAAGTGAGTAATTTTTAATTTTTTTTAAATAAAATAAATAAAAATTTAAAGATAAATTTTAAAACAAAAATAGAAATATACATATTTTATTTAGTTTATTTTTTTTTTATTTTTTCTAGTTAACGAACCAAAAAAACATATCTTTAACCTGGTTAAGAACATAAGCTGGGTATGGTCACTTATGCCTGTAACTCCAACATTTGGAGGGCCAAGGCAGGAAGATTGCTTGAGTTCAAGGCTAACATGGTAACTTTTAGGCCTGTCTTGCCTACAGAGCATTGATCTTTCTTTCCAATAAGCATCAAAAGAAAACAATACAGTTGAGGCAGACCTTGGCAAGTGTAGTAATGCCTCAGGTTGCAGCACACGTTTTCAGAGGCTTCACATTCTACACTAAGTGGTTAAAATTAGGGAGTTTTTATAAACAGAAATGCCAAAAGCATTTTTTCAGAATATTTAGGTTGCTATGTAAGAAGGATTGCTTTGTGCTGGAGAGATGAACTCATTGGTTAAGAGCACTTGTTCTTGCAGAGAACCCGAGTTTGGTTCCCAGCACCCATTTGGTAGTTCACCATCATCTATAACTCTCATTCTAGGAGCTACAAAACCTTCTGACCTCTGCAGGCCCAGGCAACACATACATGCATGCAAGCAAAACACTCATACGCCTAAAATAATCTAAAATTAAACATAAAAGGCAAGAGGCTGCAGATAAATTAGTTATAGTTGATAATGAACAGAATTGTAGACTTGTCAGAAGTAAAAACAAAAGTTGTAACTGAGTTTTAACTGGTCCTGAAGATTTTCTGACATCAGGACAGAATGAAGGTGACTTGACAGTGCTGTGTGAAGACCCATCCTGTAGCACCTCAGTGAGGAGACAGCCTTCCACACGTGGCCTCTACTGAGCTTGTTTTCAGGGTAGAGTTGTGACACATAGAATCCTTGACTGCAGGGACGGTGAGGTACATGTAATGAAGAATATCATACCTCATCAGCAGTCAGTGTTAGCAAGCTTTTAGTACTCTGAAATACTAGAGATCAACGAGGCCTTTGGTTCCTCTTCAACAACTAACACAGGTGCCCAAGGCTCTGCTGTTGCTGGTGACTTTCTTCGTGCTCAAGATTGAACCCAGGGCTTTATCTTCCACTGAGTCACATCCTTGGCCATAGATGGTTTTAGGAATTTAGCATCTATCATTATTTAGAAAGGAGAACCATTTGGGCAAATTAGTTACTTTATTCATTGATGTTTCATGAGATTTTAATTGTCCTGCGTAGAGAAGATAGTAAACAAGCGTTTATTTGTTCAGGTGCTAGTTTGTTCTGTTTGTGCGTGTTCACTTAGGTACAGTCTCATGGGAATAATGTGTGTTTCATCTGTGTGCTCGTAACTGTGTAGTTATTAGGATGCTTTCTTCTTCCCTTCCTCTGCTTCTTGCTGAGAACAGCTCCTCTGACACTTAGATGGCTAGGGCCCCTAGACCTCTGGTCCCCTCCCTGTCCTCCACAGTGAGCTTCCTCCACTCCAGCTCTACTCAGGTGTACCCTTTCTCCCTGTTCACGTTTACTCAAGTCTTCTTAGGACTCAGGGGAAAGTTGATTGAATGGCTGCTCACTTGATGTTTGCAGTCCCAACAGCCATGCTGGGTGCTTGATCAGAGAACCTAAATTCATGAAAATTAATAATCTGCTTAGGAAAGTTTGATTATTGGGCAACTGAGCCTAAATTATATCCCATGTCTTTATTATCATGTTGTTGCTCGTATATTTTATCACTGACATTATTTATGCTTAGAGTTTACATGAGGCTTTAGGAAAGGCAATAATTATAATTTTTCTAAACAGTGTGAATGGCCTTTCTGGGCTTGACCTGCTCCTTCCCTGACATGATATCTGCTACTTCAGATCAGTCACTTACTATAAATAATGAATTCTTATTGGTGAGATATTAGAGAAATTTTCAAACCGTAGCTCTTTCTGGGTATTCTGTGTCTGTCTGGTGATACACTGTCCTTCCTGTTTGCTAAACACTGACATGACAGTGACCTGGAGTTGGTGGGCTCTAGTAGGAAAGATGGATACCCGAGGGCCTTCCTGCCTCCTGTGCTGTGTATAAAATCCACCTCCTACTTGCCCACAGTCCCAGCCTGCAGGTACTCCACCCTAAGACATGCTTTGCAGATTTTGTTAATTCAGTGAATCTATATTACAGTATATAATTTGAAAGTATATAATGGAGATTTTGTGTGTGTGTGTGTGTGTGTGTGTGTGTGTGTGTGTGTGTGGCTTCATCAGGTTATAACTGTACCCTTGATCATTTGTTGAAGAGACAGACATTTTCTTTTCTATTTTTGAATTGAGTTCAAAAAAATGAAGAAAGCCACACTAGCATGTAAATTCTCAGTAAATGGTTGCATGTGCCAACAGTGAAAGCCAACTCATTTTACATTAGGACATCTTAAAAGGCCCATTAGTATGTAAGTATATGCATAGGGATGTATGTCTACATCTACTAATAGAATATAGCAGTGTTTTCCTGCGGTCATGTATGCGTTACAAGATAATGTAAATGAGGCTTATTGAAATTAGTAATGTTATACGTTATATGTTGCTCTATACCATTATACACCTCATTTTGTTAGTATTTTGTGTAAAATTCTGCAAGTTCATACAAACTGTATGTATATGCTTGACACTAAAACATAGGCAGAGCATCCTTGAGCCATGGTGTTTTAAAATTCAAAACTTCTGAGCACTCTGGTTCACAAGTGAAAAATAATAGAACACATTCCTAGACACAGAGTTATTTAAAATACTGTCTCAAGTTATATTTAGTTTCTCTATATAATTATATAAAACATAGTTGAGTTTTGTGTTTATACTGCGCTCTGCCCCTAAGATATTCATTATAAATATGAAAATAGTCCCAGATTTAGAGAAGAAAACCTGGAAAGGCTTCTGGTCCGACGCACTTCAATGGGCTCTCAGCCTGTATTCACTCGTGCAGGCAGGGTGTTCATGCTCTGTAGGACGGTAACACCACTGAGTGGTGGTGCGCTCTCCCTCCATCTCTGCATATAGAACAGCTCTCCCTTTAATGTTCTCTCTTAAAATCGTGCTTTGTATCTGCACAGGGAGAAAGTCGTGTCTTTCAACTGTGAAATACAGTGTGTTGGCTTCATCTTGGGGTGACTTTGAGCTAGTTCCCTTTATAACATCCAGAAGAATGCTGAGGGTGTGTTAACTCGGAGTATGAGTCATCCTAACGCGTATTATTTTTAAAATATGAGCCCTTTAATATGCTTTCTTCCAGAAAACAAATCAGTGTCATTTTGAATCACTATAAATAACCTCTCTATCCTGATTTGGAAAACATAAACGTACTTGAAAATAAGAATTTAAAGCTGTTGTATAAATTATTTAGATTAGGTTTTCCATTTTACAGCCTTTAATCTCTAGAAAATTTTCACTCATTGAACAAATTTTTATTATATGAAAAATCCATGCTGACTATGACAGAATCTTTGTACTAAAGAACTTTCCAGGCTAGTAGGATAGATGGGCTACAGAATAGCATTGTGTCAATACTATAGTTGTTAAGTGTTAGCTTTACTCAGAGATCTTTCTTTGTAAGCTATGATGATCAGAGAGAACTTACCTAGGTAGATGACAGTTACATCATATCTTCTTAATCTGAAAGCCATGTGTGGCGGTAGTCCTCTGGAATACTAGTACTTAGGAGGTGGAGGCAGGAGGCTTGCTGTGAGTTCAAAAACAGCCTTGGCTCTGTAGCAAGACTATGCTCAAAACAAAACAAAGTAAGGAGCATTATAATCAGTACAGGGTGGTGGTGCCACTAGATCCCAGCACTCCAGAGGCTGAGGCAGGAAAACCTCTGGTTCAAAGTGATCCTGGGTTAGACCCCTGCCTCATACTCCTATTCTCAGATACAGACACATGTAAAATTTTTGAAAGTGTTTTATCAAAAAGGCATTCCTGATGAATTCTTCCGTATTTATTAGAACGGGTTAATGGTGATGCTAACTAGTTTAAAAGGAAGGCAGTAGTCAGTGGTGGTTCTCATCCTACTGAGAAGTCCACCAGATGAACAGTGCAGCGGTTTGAGAACAGCAGCAGGAAGACGTGGCATGCACTTCAGGTGCCTCAGCTAAGACCAAGTGCTTGCTTATGTTGGAAGTAAAAAGTGAAACCAGAGAAATAACTGGCTTGTTCTTTAATTCACTAAGACTTCAGAAGTGGGCGTCCTTGGAGTATGTGAGATACTTGGTGCAGTGGGAGAAAGGATTCATTCTATTTAGTCAAAATGTCAGACTGCCAACAAAGGGAGGAAATATGGAATAGAAGACGAGAGAGTCAGATCTGTGTAAGTGATCTTTCATACTAGCAAATAGGTGATTCCGTAAGGTAGAATGGCAGTTACAGGAGCGGGCGAAGAAGACACAGAGCCAAGCCAGCCCAGTAGAATGAACTGGGCAGTGAAGGCAAGCGATGTTACTGTTTTTGCAAATACCTAGTGAACCCAAGCAAACAGGTGTTCTTCTAAAGTGACTTTAGAGCACTCTGTCCATGGTGCTTTGAGGCACCTGGTCTGAGATGTTAACTTCAGTCTGACAGTTACAGTTGGTCATTTGGTTCTTCTTTTGTGTGGATCCTGTCTGACTGTTTCATAGAAATAATAGTTTGTGTTTATATGGTATATTTACAATTCCAGAACTTTCTACTTCAATGAGAGTTCCTTTGCACATATTATATTCATGTATGTGTATGTATTTATGTTGTATTTATATCATTCAGTTTTTTATTTCATTGCTTGGAAGAACATTTTAAAGGCTCTCCCAGCCCCAATGTTAGAGATTGAACACAGGGTCTTGTACATGCTGGGAATGCATACTGCCACAGGCTATATCCATGACCTCTGAAAATCCTTTAAAATTTGGGGATAGGTGGGGACCAACAGGAATGGAGAAGAGAAGAGGAGAGGGAAAGGACCAGCTGGAGTTGAGAAGGGGAGAGGAAGGGGACCAGTGAGAGTGAAGAAGGGATGAGGATGGGGGCATGGCAGCCAAGAGACTGGATCAAAGTGCATTATACACATGTGTGAAAATGCCATAGTGAGACCCATTATTTTGCACAATTAATATACACTATAGAAATGCAAATCTTTGGAATGAGTGTGTTAATGTTCTTGTTTTAACAAAGGGTGAAGCCTGAGTACAACCTTATTAAGTCGCTTTCCCTTGCATGTTTTTGTCTATTAAGAAGTGAAGGGGCTGGAGATTGAGACCAGGGTGGGTCTTTTGATGCTCGCCAGGCATTTAGGCTTTTAGCCGCACCCCAATCTTTTTTTAAAAATTGTTTTTCAAAAATTATCTATGGTAAAGCAATGAAGAATGTCTGTTTAAACTTACTGTGAATACTTTAGAAACTGCATAATATATAAGAATGGATTCTTGGAGGTGGTGAGTGGGTTGCTGCTTTCTAACACTGGGAACTCCTCCTGTCTTGTGCAGTCCTTTAGAAATACCATGCTGCAAGGCTGTGAGTAATTTAGGCTGCTTACATAGTTGAGTTTATCTGTTCTGTATGATTTAGTGTCTGCTCTAGGTGCATTTGATTTAAAATGAGTTGGTTTAAATTTGATTTTAAATTATTAGTCAAGAAAATACCATTTGCTCATTTTGCCTATAAAAGTACATTTTTAAATTTAATCTGAACACTTATTCTCAAATATAGCTTCATCATTTGGTATGTTGAAATGTAATAGTTTATATAAAAAATTCAACTTAATTTTGTAGTTATGTCAGAAGACAAATTATTTGGTTTGTGTACAAGAGCCGTCTGAAACAGCTACTGCTAAAGTCGTCTCTTGCTCATAATTGGCCCAGAGTCCAGAGACAGGCATTTTGAAAGAAATGTAGTCAGCATGTAGATTGGAATCTAAATAAGTTTGTGAAATTTTAAATATTACATTAGGCAGCTAAATTTTTGTTTCCTTGTTACTGGTTGACTGTGATTTCCAATCAGTAACTCAGGGATATTATAGAGCTACATATTGGATACCCAATATTCCATCTCTACTCTTTTCCAAAATTCCCCAAAGCAGGGACATGGCCCAGATAGTGCTATGCCTGCTGCACAGGAATGAGGAACTAAGTTCACATCTTCAGCACCCACATAAAAAATCAGGCAGTGGTGGCCTGTGCCTTTAGCCCTGAGGGGATCCCTGCAGCTCATTGGCCAGCCAGTTAAGCAAACTAGTGAGCTCTGAGCTCAGAGACAAGCAGAGACTCACACATGTACAGGCTACAAGTGAGTACATCTCCACGGGGAGCATGGCACCCCCAACAGAGTGCATAACACATCCAGGTGAGGGGACCGAAAGACCTATCTACTTGAAATTGCAGGTTGGTATCATGTTCTGATAGGATACTTCCGTTTCTTCTCCAATCAAGTGTCAAAGGTTTTACTGTGAATAACTGTTAACGTTTTAGACTTTGCCAAGAGGCAAAATCGAGGGTATAGTATAGACACACCATACAAGAGAGAAAACTGGGAATGGCAGCACACAGCTACACACCTAGCACTCAGGAAGCTGAGAGTAGGTGATCTGTAAATTCAAGGCCAGCATGAGCTAATAGACTGTGTCGCCGGAAACTAAAAATGAGAGAGAGAAGGAGAGAAACGGCCACAGCCATTCTTGATAAAAATCCAACATGGAACTTGTAATCTTAGTACCAAGAGACTGAGATGGGAGGATTGCCTTGTGTTTGAGCACCACCTTGACTAAATAGTTTCAGACTTGCCTAGTGAGTGAGTTCCAGTCAGGCAGTGGTGCATGCGTTTAATCCCAGCACATAGGAGGCAGAGGTAGAAGAATAGTTCAAAGCCAGCCTGGTCTGTAGAGCAAGTTCCAGTACAGCCAAGGCTACACTGAGAAACGAGAGAGAGAGAGAGAGAGAGATTGATTGATTGAGTCCCTGCATTAAAAAATGAAAAAAAATTCAATATGAAATCGTAGTGGTTGTATACGGTATGGGGAGCTTATATAATGTTTGTAAAAGTAAAAGTAATAATGATTTTTTTAAAGAAAATTATTTGCAAAGGTCCATCTGAGAAAGATTATTAGTTTGTGATTTATATGAGGGCAGAAGGCAGAAGACTGACTTGAGCTGAGTTCCTTAATCTGTTGACCTTGTTTAGATAAGCTACCATGATTCTTTCAGTTTTCATCTTGAACAAAAAACAGTGTTCTGGTTTTATAGTCTTTAGGCTCCGATTTAATTTTTATTTATTGTTTGTTTTGGTGAAAGAATGAGTTGTTCTTTGTTATTCTTATGGATGTCTGGTTTATGAAAGCATGCTGACTTTCTAAATAGTTTGTAATGGACCAAGAGTATATATTACCAAGGTTGAATAGTATAGTTATTAACTATTTTGTGTATTTATTATATGTAATATGAAATTAATAATTACTTTCAATATGAAGCTGTTACTGTTTCAAATCATCCCACATTCTTTGGGGAGGGACTTATGCAGAAGGGAGGGAGAGGAAGCAGCTAAGGGTGTTTCATACAATGCTAGTATTTTCAGTTGTAAAAATGGTGTTTATTTCTGCCCCTGAAGCATTTCCAAGACTTTAAGATGAGTGTCACTTCTACAGTTCCTCCATTAACCTGCAGACCCACAATCTACTTTCAGCTGATTTTCATTGCTGTTGCTTTTTATTTTTCCAGGATTTCTATGTATGATTTATTCCCCAATATTGAGACCATACATACTGCATATGGCAACCTTATTCCTAATTTAGATTATACACAGCTTGCAATTAATGGTCCTCCCACATGAGACTTGTATCCACAGTGGCATTCACTGAGGTGTCTGTCTGATGGTGTGATGTTTCAGGATTGGAGTATTTGGTGTTTCTTGGTTTGTTGTAATTTCATATTTTCACCTAAGTTTAGTCTGTTCCCCTTTTATTTTTGTGTCCTTCCTTTCTGTGTTCTCCCCACCTCTCTGCTTCACCTTTCTTTTAGCAAAGATGAGGATTTCTACCTTCAACATACATTGTTGGTCTTGTCTTCTGTTTTTGTTAGGAGGGACAGCAGTGTGATAAAAGAGGAAATCAAAGCCTTTCTTGCCAATCGGAGGATTTCCCAAGCAGTTGTTGCACAGGTAACAGGTAAGAGCCGGAGAGCCCTTTATTCTAGAATCATGTCTCGTCTCTGCCATCTGTGCAGGTGTTGGACTATCGCTTACATTTCCGTGCTGCAGCCCTGTCGGCTTGGGCATGGTGACGGAAGCCTGGGACTTAAACCAGTGTCTCTGATAGCACGGACTGCTCCAGTCATTTTTTTTTTTTAAAAAAAAAAAAAAAACAAAAAAACAAAAAAAAACTTGTGTTGGTAAATTTTGTAACATCAATAATAAGAAAAAAAATTCCCTATTTTATAATTGAAACAGGGATGTCGTTTCCTCTTGATTATGATAGCGCCTGTGACACATGCACACCAGCTGCTGTCTGTGTCTTTATTTTTAAAAGCTTTGCAGTCCTTTCAGTTAAATCTAGGACTTTACCAGTAAAAAGTGACTCATGAGGAAAACGCAAGTCTTTGTTTTCCTTTTTTGTTTTGGGGGTTTGTTGTTGGGACTTTGGTTTTGTTGTTGTTTGTTGTTTTTTTGTCTTTTCTTGAGACAGGGTGGCATGCATGCAATTGAAGCTGGCCTCAAACTCACTCTGTGGCTAATAATGACCTCTTGCGGCTGGAATATATGCACGCCCCCATCCCCTACTGAAAACTGTGTCTTTTGAACGACCTTTTCTGTATGTGAAAGCTTTCCTCACACCCCTCTTGACAAGATGAGAGTCACCATTGTCTTTTCGTTGTTGTTGTTTCTCTCCCATCCCATTCTCCACCCAACCCAGACCCCCGCCCCGACATGTGGTGTATATGTATCATTTTGGAACTCTTGAATCTGGGTGTAGGTATGCCATCACTGTTGGTGTGTGCCCGTCCTTAGTTATAAAGTCCTAAAGGAACCAGAAGTTCTTCTAATACATTTACATTTGCTGTGTTATTATACTTTCTGCACTGACAGTGCAAGAATTACCATCACCACCCCTTTTTGCTCATAGTTGCAAACTTATGCCTTGGGGCATCTTAAGTCCTTGCCTCAGTTTTCCTACTTTGTGGTTACAGGTTGGCGTCTGAGCTTCTCCAGCTCTGGTGTTCCTTCTGTGGTGGAAACGCTGGTACATACTGAAGTAAATATTCTTAATAGGTTGTTCCTGCTTAGTAATTGATTTAAAAATGTAACTTCAGAGTTAAAAGTATTAAATTTCATTCCCTGTACCTATGTCAGCCAACCCTTTATGATATGTATACATACATGCAAGTGTATATATTTTACCAGTAATATTCTTTTATAAACAATGTCTTTATACTGGTAAAAAGACTTTTAAACATGTCCTCTATTTAGAAGTCTTAATGGTAAAGAAAGGTGTGTGAATTTAATTATTTAAGTCTTCAGGTATTTGCCAGTGGGATGTATAAGATAAATTATTAATCTTTATCTTAAAAAACTAAGTTACAGTGCTTAACATACCATAAGGGCAAGTCGTGCGGGTGTTACTGAAACTCGTGATGTGGTAGTTTATGCCATGATGGGGATCTTGTCTTTTTGTCCTTTACTTTAACTTCTAGGAGTATAAACAATATATGTCCTAGTTTGCAAACCTGGGTGCGTGGGGAGCAAGACGAATTTGTAATATGATAGAATCACAAGGTTGTTTTTGTTCAGAAGAGAATATTTCTGAGTATTGAATATATTGAATCTTGAATTATCTTAGGCATGAGTGTGTGTATCTGTGTGTGTGTAGGACAGAAGACAGCTTGAGTAAATCAGTTCTCTCCTTCTACTATGTGAATCCTGGGATCAAACTCACCTTGCCAGGCTTTATGACAAATTCCCTTGCCTTCTGAGCCAGCCCTTGTCTTGGACTTGTGAAATAGTGGCTTTGGATGAGTGTCCAACATAGTTGCAAATCATAAAAAGATACCTTTAAAGGTATCTTCCTGGGCTGGAGAGATGGCTCAGAGGGTAAGAGCATTGCCTGCTCTTCCAAAAATCCCGAGTTCAATTCCCAGCAACCATATGGTGGCTCACAACCATCTATAATGAGGTCTGGTGTCCTCTTCTGGTCTGCAGGCATACATGGAAGGAATGCTGTATACATAATAAATAAATAAATATTTTTTTAAAAAAAAAATAAAGGTATCTTCCTTATGCCACTCATGGTGGCATATCCAAAAGCATTGTCTCATAATGAGTTAAACACAGTATATAAAATATTTCCATTTTAGAAAGGGAAACTGAAAGATGTTTTACATCTTGCTATTCAAAATACAGTCCAGGAAATAGCAGTTTTGGCATTAGCTGAAAACTTGTTAGACGTGTAGGAATACACGATGGCACCTCTAAATCTGCTGAAGTGGATTTTACACTTCAGCCAGATCCCCTTCCTTTAACCACCATAATGATGGGATATTGTTAAAAATGTCTTCCCCATTTCAGCTTCACCTCAAAGAGGTTTTCCTCTTTGTTTTTGTTCCAAAGGATTGGGTTCACATTTCTGTGAACCTACCTTTGGCCCTTCATTGTCTAAAACAAGAAATTTAAAAAAAGAAAGAAAGAAAACCACAAAAGCATTTATTTTTGTATGTGTTCCTGCATGAGTGTCGCAGTGTATGTGTTGAGGTGAGAGTTTCTTTATTCTTCTACCATGTGTGTTCCAGAGATTGAACTCAGGTCATAAGCCTTGGCATCAAGCACCTTTATCCATGGAGCCATTCTGCCAGTCCAGGAAATTCTTATAATGCAACCCCTACATCCATTTTTATTACTATTTTCTATTATGTGTATTCACACAGCTGAATTTAACAACTTGTAGTTTTGAGAGTCCTGCTCATTTGCATGCTCCCAAATTCTTGGTTTACCAGAAGACCTTTACCTCCTCAGCATAGCTCTATCCGTTCCTACTAACCGCACCTCATTCTCTTAGGGTGGCATTTTGACATTCTGACATTGGTTTAATCCTCACCTGAGTGATGCAGTTTCTTCGGAGGGTCTGTCACTGACCTTTTACCTGGAACAATTCACATCTACCTTGACACCTGATAGATCTAACTGAAGCACCAAGGAGCTGGTTGTGTTTAGCACAAACCATACATCGAAAGGTACACTGAGGCACTGTTTCAGGGATGATTGCTTGCTAAACAGTCCCATGCATTTTTGTGGGTAAGAAAGTTGCAGTACTTTTTTTTTTTTTGCTATTTTATTTTAATCTACAAAACAGGAGAATGAGGAAATTAATAAGCAGGCTAATCTACTTTTTATCTATTGACTAACTCACTGAGTTGTGGTTCTCATGTATTATGAATTAATCACATTTGTGTCCCGGCCTGACCAGCCAGGAAGCTAACAGAAACAGCACTTCTCATGTCTGGGAAGAACAATGAGTTAGTGAAGCCCTTATGATTGGCCCACTGGGGGAGGGTGAGCCTGGTTTAGGAAGCCTTCCCATCCCTGGAATATCTGGCTATTACCAAGATATGTTTTTCTGTTCTATAGCAGATTTTCTGAAAGTCATTTGAGTTCAACTCTAATATGTGAAATCAACCTTAAGATAAAAATCAGAGCGGATGGTGCCTAACAACAGAAAATGCTAAATAAAAAAGTATAGCAAGGTGCAAAATTCCAACACATGTGCTGTTCCAGAAGTAAATGCAGAGGCTGCTTTTTATAGATTTGGAGGGCTTCTATAATAAGATAAACAAGAAGTGCAGGGGTGGGGTCTGTATAAATAATATCCTGCTGATAGGAGAAATGACAGTGTAAACAGGATATAATAACAGTGCCTGCCGAATTCCCAGCATGTTATTTGTAGATTCCGTCACAGTCGCAGCTGCTCCCACCATGGGTGGATTTTTACCTCTGCAAGAGGTCGGCCAAGATTCTAGCTTCTCCCTAACAATGATAGGGTGGTGAGCATAGCCTTGGCTTTAGTAATAAACACTTGCATTTTATATTCACTGTCAGTAAAATGTTTTCTTAGGCTGTTTAAGAATTTCTAAAACAAACAAAAAAATTTAATGACCTCTGGGAAAAATTGGGCACACACAGAATAAATGAGTAAATATACAAAGGTTGATGGGTATTATCAGCCAAAGAAATACACTAATTGGTGTCATGTCTTCTGGGAAAAAAAATGAATACATGGGAGAAGAAAAAAGTTAGCATCTCTGAATTTTAAGAACTTTATTATAATTGTGTTGAATTGTTGGGGTAAGTAGACACCGAGTTTGTTCTTTCTGTAGTTTAATCATCTCACAGCCTCCTTTTCCTTACTTATAAGATGTGGGACTTTGACTCCATAATTGTTCTCTTAGTCGTTGTAACAAAATGTCATAAACGGGGTCGTATACAAACATGGAAATGTATTTCTCATAGTTCTGGGGTCCAGGAAACCCTGAGCTAAGGCAGTTTCCATACCTAGGGACTGCCTCCTTATCTGACTCATACACTACTCGTTCTTGCTGGGTCTTCTCGTGGTGGTAGGGGTGAAGGTTGCTAATCCTGTTCATGAAGGTCTGCCCACGTGTCTTGGTCCTCCAAAGGCCCCTACATGTGAGCATCACCTTAAAGGCAAGAATCTCAATAAAAGGCTTGAGGTGGGCACAGACATCCACACTATAGTGGCTCCACTTTTCCCTACTTGTCTAGTTCTATCTGCTCTTAAACTTCAAGGACTTTTGACACTCGTATCTACTTAGATCTAGCAATTTCACTTCCAGCCACAATCAAACCACTTCCCTTGTTATATATCTCTAAAGTGAAGAATGAAAATATTATATACGAGTCAAATATTTTACATTTGCAAAAAACTTGTATTGCTTCTTTTAAATTACAGAACTTTAGACCAGGTGTTATAAACCAACTAAGATATCAGCTTACATTTTTAAAACTAAACTTTATTCTCTAGAGGAGTTTTTAGTTCACAACAAGATTGAACAGAAAGTTGAGAGACTTCCAAAATACATTCTGGTCCACCACGTGTACCTAGTCTTTCCTCCACTGTCACCGCCCACAGTGTCCCATTGGTTGTAGTCAGTGAACCTATGC